GGGGGGGGGAGTAAATGATGATTATATAGGCTGCACTGCTCCTTTTACAGCTGAGAGTAACTGTTTCAATAATTTTGCAAACACTATTACTAAAGCTGTATGTATTTAGTCAAGCAGACCTTGTGTCAGGCCTATCTGAAGCATTGATATTCCACTTGCACCTGAGTTCTCATTCACTAGAGTAAATTTTCACCTCTGTGAGGAGCTTGGAAATAGAGCAGCGAGGTGCTAATTGACCCGGGACACTCTTGATAACATCAAGTCGTGTTCAGTCAGCCATGAGGCATTTCCTCTCTTGTTGATCTGATCATTTGAACCCACTGACACAATATCAGGCCTCTACTTTAAAGGGGTCCTATTATGCTTTTTCACTTTTTCAACTTTAGTTAGTCTGTAATGTTGCTGTTTGAGCATAAAAAAGATCTGCAAAGTTACAAAGCTCAAAGTCCACTTCAAAAGGAGATATTTTATTTAACAGAAATCAGTTTTCAAAAACTACAACGAAATTTCGAACAACCTAGTATGAGAGCCTGTTCTAGTACATCCCCAAAACAAAAACAAGACTTTGTAAAAGAGCATAATAGAACCCCTTTAAGGTATCTGACCCTCAATAGATCAAACTGAGTTTTCTGAATGCATTTACCCAGTGACGCCACAACATCCCAGTTAGGCGGTTCTGATAAATGTTTGGCATTGATCCTAACTGTCTGTTCTGGTGTAATAAGCGCAGCATCTAGAGCTGGCTATGGCTTTGTTCGTTCTAGTAAGCTCGACTCTCCTCAACGGGGTGGTGGCACACGGATCGGTCTCATTAAATGCATGACCACACAGCCTCATCACTCTCTCTCCAGCAAACTTCTACCATCCTCATTATAGCAGCAACCAGCTGACAATATATTTTAATATAAACATTTGATATAAACACTTTGATTCAGATGTTTCAATTATTCATCGTAAAGTTGGCTGGTTTGGTTCGAGGCTTATATGCGTATAGAGAAAATAAATGGGAAAAAAAGCGTCACTGTTGTCCCCTCCTGTTAATCATGCCGATGATAAGTAATAATCCCACACTCTTTGTTTGGAGAAATATATTTAACCCGACATTGACCTACTGCGCTAACAATCTCTAAATATGATCTTTGATTTGGAAACACCGTCAAGAACCCAGCCAGTCCATGTGTATCAACAGCTATCCTGCATGATCATACCAAGCAACAAGAAGGTCAGATAAAATCTGAACTTCTCATGTTGAAAGCCTCATCATTTAAACATGAGAGACATGATATTGCCGACGAGACCAGACTCTAGATTGGGTTAACAAGTTAACAGCTGGTTCTCAGCCAGCGCAAGTGTCAACCACATGGCTCCGTTCCCTCAGGAGACTGACAGCAAGAGGCAATAAAGAGGCAATAATTAAGACATCTCCATTCATGGCTGAGGTAATGACTTATGATGCAAGAAGCTGTCATCAACCACTGTCTCAGTCGATGCATCAGACAGAACCGCAAACACAAATACCAAGCATGCAAAAACCACTGGCCTACTCAAGCCAAAAAGTCGCACTTTTGGACAAACAGCCATATCATATCTGATATCATGAGCCCCAGTTGGTCTGGAGGCCTGGATGATTGGTGTGCAATATAAAGACCAGCACATCTAATTCCTAAGGTTGTTTGGTGAAATAGTGTATGCTGATAGGAGCAAATGAAGAACAGCTGGTTGTTTCTGAGAACCGTTGACTTGCTGAGATTTTGAACTTGGCCCGACAAAACAAATGCTATGTAATTATCTGACTTGGATCCTGCCTTCACAAACAGCTCTGAAATTGCCAGGAATAATGTGGCTCCTATAGCGAGCTGCTGCAAAAAATCGGGAGAGTTTTAAAAAGACAGAACGCAGACAATACGCTGCTAGTGATCCATATGCATCTAGATAATGGTGTATCACACTGGGGTTTATGCATCGGCGAACCGTTAACTGATGCAAATAAACAAAAGCAATTACTTTTTTTTTAAATGTACTAAAATGCTTACACAAAGAGGGTCATTTGTGTACCCCCTCATGCTCTGTTAGTGTAAGTGTAGTTGAAATTAGTCATGCGACTTGCATCTGTGATGGTTCAAGTGGGTTTATTTGGGCTCCCAAGGCAATGTTGTTTTACATTAATAATTTTATTCAGCAATGATGCATTAAATTGAACAAAACTGATAGTAAAGACATTTATAATGTTACCAAAAATGTATTTGCTGAAAATTCAGCTTTGTATCACAGGAATCAATTGCATTTGAAAATATGTAGAATACACTTATTTTTAATTGTATCATCTCAAAACAACTGTGTTTTAGACCCCAAATTTTTAAAGGGATCGTTCACCCAAAAATGACAATTCTGTCATTAATTACTCACCCTCATGTTGCTCCAAACCTGTAAGACCTTTGTTCATCGAAACACAAATTAAGATATTTTGATGAAATCCGAGAGCTTTCTGACCCTGCATAGACAGCAATGCGACACATTCAAGCCCAGAAAGATAGTAAGGACATCGTTAAAATAGTCCATAGTCCATGACATCAGTGGTTCAACCTTCATTTTATGAAGCTATGAGAATATTTTTTGTATGAAAAAACAAAATCTTTATTTATAATATATTTATTGAACAATTCTTCTCTTCCTCTTCTATATTTCTGGGCCTTGAATGTAGTTGCGTTGCTGTCAAAGCAGGGTAAGAAAGCACTCAGATTTCATCAAAAAATGTTCATTTGTGTACCTAAGATGAACGAAGGTTCTTCTAACCAACCACTAAATCATACACACACCAGAATGGGAAAGATTATTTTTCAGAGATTTCTCTTTCTTAGATATTTCTCTTAAAACTACTTTTTACTAATAAAAAAATAGACAAGTGAGACAGCTGTTGATATACAGTAACAGTACAGAGATATAAATGTGGACACTCTGATAGATTAATAATGGAAGAATTAATAATAAATGTTTGAGTTCTTATTGAAATCTCAGCCTTTTGATTGAGATATTGAGATTACCAGAGTCAGAGATTTCTCAAGAGAAAAATCAGACAGAAGACATGCACCAAACTCTCCATTTGGTGTCCGTTTAATCTTATTTTTGTCTGGAAGAAATAACTGAGGTATTATTCTCAATTAATTTTAATTTCTGATTCATTTCTGATCTCCCCTATGTTTTTTCTTTCCTATGGGCATATCTATAATGATATCATCAGAAATAAATTTATTTACATACTGTGATTGATGGTGGGTGAAATTCATCCCCCTTTTTTAATTGCATATGAATATTAGTAGCAAAAACCTAATGAACCTACTTATCTCCCCTCATTTAAGAAAGTGCGCAGCAGACCGTAGAACATTATTGACAGCAGATCAAATTAACGGCTATCAGTAAATGTTTATGCTTTATGTGAACGTGTGTGTGTGCGAGTTACTCACCTCATAGTGGGCGACTCTCTGTGACTCAGAGATAAGCTGAGCGCTGCACACTTTGCAGTAGCTGTCAGTGAATAACCCCGGATCCACTTCTGTAGATTTCATCTGAAGACGAATATTATGACAATTACTCATTTTTAAGCACGTAACATGATTGGTCACACATTCATTAGCAATGCTTCAAACTAGAAGAGTTCTAAGGTCTAGCGAGACCGTCTCAAATGTCATACACTCATTATTACAAACTTCTCAATAGTATAACATTTGAGAAAATAATCCAAACACAGCTTGATTGGCTAATCAAACTATTTTCGGTTTATTTGTAAAGTCATAACCTCGCCAACATCAATGATGTTAGATTTCATCGCTGTGACATTTTGAGTTTATCATACAGTGACATTCTTTGCGCAAACTGATGAAATCTGTGACATTTGGATTTGGCAAAAGTAGAGGGATGTTGGAGAGGAGGGGGTATAATGAGACAGACAAGAAGGGAGATAAATCTGGCACCGCTCCGTGTCAAAAGAGGCACCAAATTGCTGCTGTGCCTGGAGGAGAAAGCAGTGCATACTTTTTAATGCTGATCTGGGACCATCTGACGTTAACCTTATACTGACCTTTATAATCTATTATATTTCTAATTGACATGGGATTTCTAATGACAGAACGAGCTGAGGTCATCCATTTGGGCCATACGCTCATTTGGAAAGCTCCTGGCACCTGACAGGGATAGTTAAAGGAATAGTTCACCCAAAAATGAAAATATGCTGATATTTTACTTACTTTCATGACATCGAATACTGTATGTAGATGATTTGCTTTTTTTCATCAACACAGATTTGGAGAAATGTAGCGTAGCATTACATCACTGTCTCACCAATGGATCCTCTGCAGTGAATGGGGGCCGTCAGAATGAGAGTCCAAACAGCTGATAAAAGCACAATAATCCACACAACTCCAGTCTATCAATTGACATCTTGTGAAGTGAAAAGCTGCACGCTTGTAAGAAAAAAATCCATTATTAGGGCATTTTAACTTTATGATATGTGCATATTTCTCTTATGAATAGAGGACTCATATTTTAGCTTAAGTTAAAAAAGTTCAAAACATCTTGATGGATTTTTTTTTTACAAACACATAGCTTATTGGTTCAAAAGACGTTAATTGATGGACATTTGGACTACTTGTGGGTTAATATGATGTTTTTATCAGCTATTTGGACTCTCGTTCTGACGGCACCCATTCACTGCAGAGGATGCATTGGTGAGCAAGTGATGTAATGCTGAATTTCTCCAAATCTGTTCCAATGACAAACCAACTTGGATGACCTAAAGGTGAGTACATTTTCAGCTTATTTTCATTTTTTAAATTCAAATTCATACATCATTTACATGTCATTCCACAGTTGTATGACTTCCTTTCTTCTGTGAAACACACACATAAACACACACACAAAAGATTTAGAAGAATGTTGCTACAGGTTTTGTATATAAAATTACAGTCAGTGGGATCAAAAACAGCATAATGCTGGACCCTATTGACTTTCATTGTATGGACATTTTTCAGACATTTTCTTTTGTGTTCAGTAGATGAAAGAAAGACATTTGGGTTTGGAGGGTTAGTAAATGATAACATTTTCCATTTTTGGGATGAACTCATTAATTCACTAAGCTTAATCAAATCAGAAAGTAACCTACAATAAAAAATTGAAAAGTATGAACACACAATGAGGCTGTTAAATAGTCTACAAAATGGGCTACTTTAAAATCAGCATGTTTTCTTTAAAAAAAAAAGTATAATCTCCAATTGTCCTGTTTTTACGTGCTTTGATGAAGCTTTATAGTCATTCGCAACCATTTTGAGATTATCATGGGAGATATTATTGTGCTCTAGATTCTACTTCGGAGGAATCAACTGCTTAGGGCTCATTTGTGATTCAAGGGCATTGCCAACTGAAATTTGAATAATGATAAAAGAGTTTTATATAAATAAAATTAAGGTTGTTTTCAAAGCCTTTCTTCTCTCCCTAGGGATACATTCAAACCGTCTATATATCCCATAACTATTCCAGACAAGTTGTTTGCAGGCAGAAATGATGTTTCAGAATGTCTGTGACCCTCTGATGCCCCCCAAAAACTAAATAACACCCTGCAGCATTCTTTACACCCAATAATCCAAAATCATTACTTCCAAAAAAGCCATCTATCCTCTCTCAAAATCAAACAAATGCATTCTCACTTATGCATTGAAAATCCGTGTATCATTCGATCATTCGTTTTTTGATTTAATATTGAAAGTAGAAAAATTAGAAAACAGCTCCATTTTCGTTTTTTCGGTTTTTTTCCAAAAAACGAAAAACGAGAATTCAGCTTAAATTTTCATTCAGGGGTAGAAAAATTAATAAACAGCTTGAATATTCGATTTCTACATGTGGGCGGGAATTAAACGCCCCTTTCTGCTGATTGGTCAGCCGAAGATCAACCCGTGCCATCATCAGTTCTTCTGCAGTATCACGCAGCAGAATAATAGTCCTCCACTGCTGCAGTTGTATGTATTCTTAACACATTTATTGCAACTACATTTCATATTTTTTCATCAAACAAACAGACTAATGAATAGCTCGACACAACTCATACCGGGGCAGAGTCTAGACAGGGCTTTCTTCTGTGTAGATATAAATTCTATTCTTTGCATCAGCTGGGCATGGCAGGGTATGATATGACAGCTGTCATAGCCTACCCTGCTCACCCAGTAAGTCTGTTTGCTTAATTATTTAATTAATTAATTCGTTTCAAAATAAATATTTTAAACACTAAGACAAAAAGGAAGGAATAATAAATTGACTTGGGTATATATAGGCCTATGTTCATGCAAGAACTGTCATATTGACTGACAACCGGAGAAGTTATTGGACCCCCTATCACTTTAAGAACTGCTGGTCTACACAGAAGAAAGAGCTGTCTAGACTACGAGTTGTGTCGAGCTATTCATTAGTCTGTTTGATGAGAAAAATATGAAATTGATAAAATGGGTTATTAATCCGTACAACTGCAGCAGTGGAGGACTATTATTCTGCTGCATGATACTGCAGAAGAACTGATGATGGCACGGGTTGATCTTCGGCTGACCAATCAGCAGAAAGGGGCGTTTAATTCCCGCCCACATGTAGAAATTGAATATTCAAGCTGTTTATTCATTTTTCCACCCATGAACGAAAAACGAAAATTTAAGCTGAATTCTCCTTTTTCGTTTTTTTTTTTAAAACAAAAAAAACAAAAAGGAGCCGTTTTCTCATTTTTCTACTTTCAATATTAAATCAAAAAACGAATGATCGAATGATACACGGATTATTGAACTTTTGTGGTAAAGATTTGTATACAGCCTCAAAAGTAAATAACTGAATTATGGGTTGAATTGAAGTTACTGCCACTCCAAAAGCCCTTCTAAATGATAATCAATGGGTCACATGGAGATCAGAATTGCAACTGGCCCTGCCAATTTATGTAACCTTTAATTTAGACGTGCAGGATTACAGCAGCTTGAGAAACCAATTGGGAATTACACCATGATTGATCAGACACTGTATATGAGACTGTGAATGACTTGCACAATACTTATGATTTCTGTCAGATGTCACTTGTAACTCCAAAGACAGTTTAGAAATCCAACTATCTGAAATCCAACATGAAAGATCTCTTACAAATTACCCTGAAATAACTCTAATAAAAAGACCAGAGAGGAAAAAAGGAAGGAAAGAATTGAGCAGAAATGGTTTTCTGAAGAGATGGATCTTATCAGAATCTCTCCTGTCAAAGTTAACCACGTCAATGCAAGCTGTGGCTAACAAAGGCCTGATCAGATGAGCATAACGCTCTTCTTTCATGTGTGGAAAAGTGATTGCTTGCCTCGCGTAAGCCCCAGAACCACATATTGATTTCCCCTAAGTTAGAAAAAAATGCAATTTCCATTATTTCAATGAATGTTATAATGAATGAAGTGAGGAGAAAAAATAAATCAGTGAAAGGAGGCACAGGAGAGCAGGTGCTTTCTTTTCATTCCTACAAAACCCACCGTTTCTGAGATGAGGAGAAAACTGCAGCTGATGTGCCTACAAAGTTACCAGCACCTATAACACAATCGTTGAAGACAATGACTGAACTCATAAGCACAAGAATATTCGAATATTAATAAAACATTGTATTTTTACATATTCTGATTATGTATGTGCCATAAACACCTGATTTTCATAACCAGAATAAACCAATATTCTAGTTTCTAGAAGTCTGAAAAGGATACAAACATTCCTCTGCTGTTCAGAATTTTTGATCATGCGAAAGTCTTAGAAATATCAGCTTAAATATGTATGAATCACTCTGCAATATGATACTGTATACCCAAAATCTTTATGTATCCATATTTGTTTAATATAACAATTTTACACTTAAAGTCCCCATGAAATCAAAATGAAAGTTTTTTGGGTGTTAGTATCAATATGTTAGTCTTAAGGTTATCTATAAGGCAGTGTGCTCCAAAACAGTGACAAAATTTGCATTTAGAAGATATAAGCATTCAAAGCTTGCAGTTCGTCACTTCCGCCAAAACGGCTCAACGATTTTATTTTTTATTTTTTGACGTCACATCGTACTTCAGCTTCTCATCAAACTTTTTATGTCCAATCAAATGCTTTCTAGAAACCGAAGCGCCCGCCCCCTACACATGAAATAAACGCTGAAGCTGCGGCTGAAATCGGTCACTTGTCCACAGAATTAGTATTTTCTGTACAGTGAATGGCACGTAGTGCACTATATAGGGGACAGGGAACGATTCAAACAGTGTAAATATGCTTTCCATTGAGGAAAAAAAGAAGTCTGGTTTCGCGCTGTCACGCTAACCACCGCACCGCACACACACTCTGCTCCGGTCCAGAGACACGATAGCACGGAGCGGATCACATGCGCGAGTCTGCGCAGACCACAAATGTATCGGAGCTACTTGAATTCTACACAGAATGCAATTTTATAGCAATATGGATGAGATTGTGGCTGGCATACCCTGCCAAATGCAGTTTTACGGAGCTCAACGGCTCTAGCCCAAGCTGTGATATAAACGTACGCTATTGGCTATTTTAAAAAGGGGCGGGGCTGCTTGATATGTCCCGCCCTGTCTTCCTGTTTCAGTTAAAATGACGTCAACACAGAGTAACGCTGCGTGTTTCTAAGCATTTCAGGGGACCTTTAAGGCTCATCAGATTAAGATCAATCATTAATATCTTGACTGAAAAATTTAAATTCTGTCATAATTTACTCACTGTAAAGTTTGTTCAAAATCTTTTTTTCTTCTGCTGCTGCTGAACACAAAAGAAGATACTTTAAAGAATGTGGGTAACTAAAGAGTTTCTGGTCCTCACTGACTTATTGAAATAACATTTTGAATATTTTTTTTCATTCTATGTCATTCAATGGGGACACGCAGCTGTTTGGCTACCCACATTATTCGAATTATATCTTCTTCTTTTTTTTTCAACAGAACGAAAGAAACTCATACAGTTTAGGAACAGCTATAGGGTGGGTAAATTATAACAGAATTTTCTTTCTTTTTTTTTTGAGTGAACTATCCCTTTAAGGTGTTTAAATGAAAGTCACAAATGCTCAGCTTTTATAAGGGTACTGAGATGGGATTTACATGAGCACTAAAAAAAGAAGAAAATTTAACAGTTTCACAGAATAATAATAGTAGTACATTAATAAACTCAAACTCAAAAAGAAAGAAACGAAGCTGCTCTTCTACTATGTTTAAGGTCATGCATTATGAAGAATAAGAAACGCTGGACATTTGCGTAAAAGTGAAAACAAAAGCTTACTTGTAATTTCAAACTGTATCCCTGGTGCAGGTGATCGGGACAAACAGGCAGATGATTGTTGATCGTACAGTCCATAGAGTGTGTGTAAGTGATGCTGAGCGTGCTGTGTGTCTGCATCAGTTCCTCAGTGAGCTCCATGTTCAGAGGCTGCGCTCCGCCCCGCACCGCGCTCATTGGCTGCTACCGCCACACATTGGCAACGTGCAAGTCAATAAATAATTCATTTAAAGACAATTAATTGTCATTTAACTAATCTGTGAGCTGTTGAAGTATTTAAAAACGTATGAGTGATTAAAAAAAAAAAAAATCAATTTATTTTTGTTTGATTGGGAACGGCAGCCTCTTTCTTGAGGTCAGTGTTGGCTTGTTTTTCATTTTGGCGATGTCTACGAAACGTATGCGATACGAAATGTTCTTAGAACTTTTATAGAAAAACTTTTTTTTTTCTTGTTTTGCGTCCATTCGAATTATTTTTAAAAACCGTCTCGAGACTCCAGTATGCTGTTACAATCCGTTGCGCGCAGCTTCTGAACGCAAGAAAGCAAAGCGGCCCGTGTGAACATTTCACAACACTGCGAGTAGCTAAAGGTGTCACAAATAGAACACAAAATTATTTTTACATTGAATCCAGGAATATTCATTATACAGATGTGTTTGTCTAGTAAAATGAAGGACAAACTAACAACAACAAAAAGCCTAATAGCGAAAAATTAACAACTTCTTTGTGAGGTGACAGTAGATAGCAAACAAACTTCATTCATCCAGGCCAACAGGTGTCAGTATAAAATCCAAAATTTACAAATTAAGAAAATCTGTTTTTATTTAAGGGATGATTCATTAAATAGATGGCTGCACCCGAAAGATAGGAAGCTGACTTGCTGCCTTATCAGGCATTGACTTTTCAGGCAGCGTTTTTGCAGGAAGGTACCTCATGAAACTAATTTCAGACAGGCTTCTGAGGCAGCGTAACGGTTTAATGATCTACAACAAAATAGAATGAGTTTTGGTGATAACTAAATGAATATTTAATTACTGTAATACTGATTTCTCGCTATAAATAACATCAAAAGTGCAAAAAGTTAGTCAGAAATATACAAACTGACCATCAAACGTAACTTTCAGACGCCATCTTTATTTTTTAGCTCAACAATCACGGAATGGAACGCACAGGATTGTGGGATATCTAAGGAACTGAAGGATACATCTATGCTGCCTTCAAAATTCGATCAGAAGAAGGTACCCCCGGAGACAGGAAGTAAAGCAGAATTTGGATTCGGACGTGGCTTGATGCCTTCCTGCCTTAGAGCTTTCGGAATGCAGCCCATGTTTTCTTCATTTGTGTTGTAGGCCAAAGGTCTTGACTATTAACCGATTGGGAGTGTCAAATAGCCTACTATTCAGTGCATCTTTAAGTCGCCATGGCATATATTGGATTAAACTCACTTTTCAAAAGATAGGTAAATTTTATCTCTTAATTTTCATGCTGTTTAGGTTACAATATTCAGATTTCATAAATAATAAAGTTAAAGTGTATAAGCCTGACCAGAGCATATTTCCAAAATTCTAAAATATCCTTTCATAAAAATACATCATTTTTTAAAGTAACGTAAATCAACAGGTACTGCACAACAGGAATGACCAGCAGGTAAAGTAGGTGCTGCTCTCTATTGGGCATTTGGTGTAATTGCATGGATGGAGATGATGCGTGCTGCTGTGGAGTATTTCATAAATCAATTGTTTGCTTTACTTATACCTCTCATTGGATATATAAACATGTCACTGACATATGTCATATGATGCATTTGGGACATTGATATGTTTATAACGCTTTCTACAGGCATCACAGTGACTGACTGTTTCAGTATAAAGGTCAGGCCCTGATTACAGAAATAAGAGACTGACTATCCCTTGAGCCAATATATCGGCTTATAAAATTACAGAAAAAAAACAGAGCAGTCATAAATTTGGGCAAACAGTTTTTATTTTACATATTTTTCTCATGGTGAAAGAGTGGAGTGGATTTTTTCTCTCAATCATCCGGGAGTTTGTATTGCCAAAACTGTAGTATGGGTAGATTGAGAGAGAAAAAATTCCTGGAAGAAAGTTTTTTTTCTCAAACAGAGTCTCCAAACCAAATGTAATAATACAAAAAAAAAAAAAATAATAATAATACAATATTAGATGAAGTAGATTATTCCGCTGAAAATATTTACTTCTCTTGTTAGTGGCTAAATGTAATACAATTCCACAGCTTTACCCCATTTTCGATTTGTCAATGTCATAAACGAAACATATGAAAAATATGTGTTTATATCCCAGAGGTAGGCCATCAGCTGATTTATGAAATCCAACCCTCCTGCCAAAATCTGCTCTCACCTCACAGTAGGGGTCAGGTCTGTATCTCAAGACTTTGCAAGAGCAAATCAAGTCCAGTGTGTGTCTACAAATCCCGTCCCTGCCAAATCCATGATCCACGACACCCAAGCCGGTTATTATCTGCCCTGGTTATGTTTAATCTGAATTGCATGCTGTCCAGATTTAAAGGGATAGTTCACCCAAAAATGAAAATTCTGTCATTAATCACTCACTCTCATGTCATTCTAAACCTGTAAGACCTTCGTTCATCTTCAGAACACAAATTAAGATATTTTTGATGCATTCTGAGAGCTCTTTGACCCTCTCATAGACAGCAAGGATCCTAACAGGATCAAGGCTCAGAAACGTAGCAAGGAGATCATTAAAATTGTCCATGTGACATCAGTGGTTAAACCATAATTTTACAAAGCTACCAGAATACTTTTTGTGTGCAAAGAAAACAAAAATAACGACTTTATTCAACAATTCGTCTCCTCCGTGTCACCCTATAGCACCATTTTGGAGAGTATCACATACGTAAACAATGTATGCAAGGTATGTATGCGGATACGTTGTTTACGTATGTGATACTCTCCAAAATGATGCTATAGGGTGATGCGGGGGAGACAAATTGTTAAAATAAAGTCGTTATTTTTGTTTTCTTTCTGCACAAAAAGTATTCTCGTAGCTTCGTAAAATTACGGTTGAACCACTTATGGATTGGATGGCGAAATTCTCTGTTGTGGCTCAGGAGAGCCACAATCTAGTTTCGTTTGCCCTCAGATTCGCCCGTCTTGCCATCACTTCCCCATACGACGACGAGACCATGAAGTCCCAGTTCCGGATCGGAGCGAATTACCATCGCCCTGTGGACCTCCCAGACACCACCGGACTGAACTGGAGGGAGGTCATGTTTCGGTGTCTGAGAGTGTCCTACCCCGATCCGGAACGCAACAGGACCCAAAGCCCAGCCCACCATCACCCCGCTGTGCGGAGCAAGAGCCTGAGCCCACCACTGACAGAGAGCCAGAGCCCGCTGCGACCGACAAGCCATCGCCAGAGAGAGTGACAGTACTGAGGATCGCCCCGGAACTAGAGCCCAACACATCAGACCAGGTGCGAGAGCCGGCTACAGAGCTCGCCACGGGGAGAGTGTCATGGACAGCAAGAGCGTGGAGGGAAGCTCCACCCACTGCACCATGGCTGAAGGTGAGCCGAGCTCAGTGGAATATGATTTGGATATTTATGCAGACATGCCCCCTTTTCTCCCACCTTCGTCTGAATTATCTGTCTGCCCTGAATTATCTGTCTGCCCTGAACTGTCTGTCTGTCCTGTGCTGTCAGCCTGTCGTGAATTACCTGTCTGTCCCGTCACGACCACTGAGGTTGTGCCCATTCTCCTCCCATCATCATCTGAACTATCTGCCTGCCCCTAAATTATCTGTCCGTCTGATTATTGTCATTGGTTTCAGGTGTGTGTCATTAATTACCTTCATCAGCCCTCCTATATTAGTTGTGTTCTGTTCTCTGTTTGTCCTCCAGTCTACTATGTCCCTACGTGTGCTCCTGCCTGTTCTGTCCTGGATTTACCCTTGTGTGGACTATTTGCATTAATCTTCATCTTCGTGTGTTTCTCACCATAGAAGATGTAACAAAACCCCATGGACAAAACTGATGAGAAACCATTATTTCGATGCAAAACCACCAATTTCACATCAATTTATGTTTTTTTATGCTGTAAATTATAATATGACTTGACTTGTTCTTTTTTCACTTCCACTTCAAACTGAACATTTAACTGTTTTTTTACTGTAAAATTACATGAAAAGCTCCATTAGATCTATTACAGGTTTTTTACAGTATATAGAAAATGAACTTACCATTAACCAATTAACAATAAAAAGTTTACCATTGCATTTTTACAGTCTTTCACATCAAAAATGGATTAATTGTTTTTATCCATATGATGCCAAAAACATCATATTCTCTCATTCATGAGTCAATTCTTTATATTTCATAAGTCATATACTAGCTTTGTTTGAGGAACAAAATAAAATCTACATTTATTTGGAAAAAAATTAAGCCATATTTGAATATGCATAAATGCAAATGAGATTTTGAGACATATGTTTCAGTTTAAATTTTGGTTGTTCGTCACACAGAGATGTTGTATAACTTCAGAATACTTTGGCAAGCTATAGTAGAGTCACATCATGGACCACTTTGATGGTGCTTTAGTCATTTTTTAAGCTTGATAGCGGTCACTTTCACTTTATGGAAAAAAACACTCATTCTGCTGGACTTCTCCTTTTGTTTTTCCCAGAAGAGAGTACGTACGTCACCAGGGTTCGGAACAACTTGAGGGTTGAGTAATTAATAACAGAATTTTAATTTTTTAGGGTGAACTACCCCTTTAAGCTACCAGATATCGATACATCGTGTTCTTGCATATGTCTAAATAAACCATTCCTGTGTAATTCACTTCGATTACAAAGGACATTTCTTGGACCCAAAGTTTCGAGAAGTACTTTACCAGACAGCATTCCTTCACTCCCACCCACAAGAGTCAAGAAGGACATTTGTTTGATAAAGCTGTGAGATGTTGAACAAACTGAGTCAGATTTATTTAGCCATTATCTAGATCAGAAGGATTGCGCAAACCGTCCTCAGTTGGGATAATTTCGTGCTAATATGCTAGCTTAAAATAAACACGTAAAATTCAATCCTAATAAGACTGGCGGACAA